CATTCAACTTAATGTTTTACAATAATAATTAAAAAAAAAAAACATTCATTACATCATTATTGGGCATTGTCGTAATCCAACTTAAACTTAGCCAGCTGTTCTTCGACTTCCGCCGCCTCCGGACAGTCTGGAACAATCTGCTGCAAGGTCGATGTAATGCCCAAAAGACGGTCCACCCACTAATAAAATGAAAGAATAAAAAGATAAGACTAAAATTTATTATAAAAAAAATTATTGTAATGAATTAACATTAATTAAAATTTAGTAACCAACTTACATAGGCGGTATTGACACGCGTTGGGACCTCGTTCTCGTCCGGCAGCTCCTCGCCCATGAGAATCGGATGGGAAACCCGACTGTACCACTGCTGGTAATCCTCAGTCGCCTCCCCGCGATCCTGTGTGGTGTGGGTCAACATACCGGTGTTGACCGTCCCAGACATCGGGAACTAGGTCCAGGCACCTACTGCACCAGCCTCAGAATGCTCAACCTTGTAGTTCCTAAACTCCCAAGCACGTACTGCACTGATTGGCGGGAATATAGGGGGAGGGACAGTCTGGACATACCCCAGCTGACGCAGACACCGCGCAGGCAAGTACGGCTCGACGACATCGCGGTATCGAATCAATCCGCTATAAAGAGTCCTCGGCTCTATCGCATCTGGGCTGGAGCTGCCGTATGGCAACCATTGCACCTGTTCACAATTGCATAAGAGCATTTATAAAAATAATTATGTTATTTTAAATAACGGGTAACTAAATTTAAACAAAATAACTTCACGTACATCGGAGGCAGTGAGTCTGTCGAGGCGCCGACGGATGGCTGTGAGCTGATCGTCTGACCGTGGCGCATTCCCTACGCTCCACGAGCGTGATCGTGCCAGACAGTCAGGACCGATGGGTAGACGCCCCCGGGGTCGGAAATCGGGAAAATACTCATATATCCAGGACTGCAGAATAGTCAAGCAGCCCGACATCTGGGCAGAGTCCCCTCGGCTGGCAATACCTAGCTGTCTGTACATGTATGCCAGCGTAGCCGATCCCCATGAGTAACCCCCAATCAAATCTAAGCCGTCGAGCACCTCGTGCAGGAGCTTGGGGGTCACTCTACTACCACTCTTGTCGACGAACAAAGTGTTAGCCAGCATCACCCACATCCAGGCACCCGCCTCATCCCTAGCCGGTCGGCGTTTCCCCCTGAATTCCCCCGAAATGGCGGCTTCGGACATTGAACCACGCTGCCAGAACGAACTCATGAGTTCGCCCTTGGTGACCGAAAGTATCGACATGCAGAGCCCATGGCAGGCGTCCGAATCCGGGTCCTCAGCGACCACGACTCCCTCCACCGGAACGCCCAAAATGGCCCGGACGTCGTGCAGCATGATGCTCATCTCACCAAAAGGCATGTGAAACGAGTTAGTATCCGGCTGCCATCGCTCCACAAAAGCAGAAAGGAGTGGGGTGTCCAAGTGGGTGTGCATGGAGTCGACCAAATGTGACAGCCCGGTCTGGTCGAGAAGAGCT